TATTTATTCACCCAAACCATATTTGGTATCAATGTTATACCTAACATGGGCTTTTTTTTTTTTTGCCAGAAATCAGAAATAAATGATAGAAACTGGCAAAAGAATGTCGGAAATTGTGGTCACTAACAGTAGGATGGCTGCAAACAACCATAAACATACCAAGCACCCCAACTGTAATCATGTGACGTTGGGTATCTGTGCATGCCGCCACTGGAACTTCAAAAATGGCCCTTAAGTAGCTCTTGGGAGGTTCTTCGTAACTTTGAACTGTCGCTAAACAACAGGTTGTTAAGTGAGGACTACCTGTAAACACCAAGATAAGATATTAGGAGAGAACCTGAACGAAATGCTAAATGCTTGGGAAAAGGCAAAGAAACAGAAACAAGGCAAAGAAACTTTCAAGAAATCAGAGGACAGATTTCAGGATACAGTAAAGTACCCTGAAGTCCCAAAGACAGATGACATGGACAATAGCACATTTTGGGTTTGTCCAAATCACACAGGAAAGTCATGGCCACGGATTAGTTGATGGCTAGATTCCATAGTGAAAAGAGAAAAAGTCACCCTACAACTTTGTGCAATTAAAGTTGCACAATTAAATCAGGGTAAAGCCAAAGGTGCTTTTTCAAGAGGCAACTTTTCATTCAATAAGCTTCTTCTCATCCAAGAAGCTTCTGAAGAAGGTTCTTGGATGAGAAGTGAAATATCTTCAAGTAAAAACAAAGTCTAGTTGCCTCTTAAAAAAGCATCTTTGGAACAACCATGACCTGGATGATTGACAATCTCCATAGACAATCAGAGTAAAATCTTTTGTGGGGGGATAGTGACAGACAGACTGGTTTTAAAACCCTGTTATCGCCACCTACTGAAAGAAGCTCTGTCTTTCAGTTAATCACAACTCTAAAAAATCCCAGAGTCCTGCAAAAATCTCCACTAGACCTCCCAAACAGGTTTTCAGATCAGTTTGTCACTAAACCTCATTCTTCAAAAAGAAACTTTTCAAGTTCTTCAGAGTTGCCTAAAGCTTGGAAGTTCTTTTTTTCCAAGCACAATTCTCACAAGAGTTGCCTTTAACAAGATTTGTTGAGGTGAAAGGATTAGGATTGTAAAGAATTCCAGCTTCTGAAACAATTATCCCTGTGTCCTTTAAGGAAGAGACTTTCTTTTTCTAACAGCCGTCTGACAAATTGGCAAAGTGGTGGGATCTCTTCCTTGATAAGGGGAAAGTTTGAGCTTGCTTGTTGACATAACTAACTGTTGAAACTCTTGTCTGGCAACCAACTCTGAGAAGATTCAAGACAAAGAATCTTTGCAACAATATACCTCTGAAATTATCATCCTAAAGTTCCTGATAAGCTGTTTTTCTTGTTCCACAAACATCACACCATTTTGTTAATTCTCTTCTAGTTGTGAAGAGATTCGCAATGTATATTAATCCCAGCAGGACTCTAGACAAGCTCCTTGTTTTCTTAACTTGTTTCACATGGTGTTTTCCTAATTTGTTTCACATTAAAATCCTGGAAAATCAAATCAGGGTAGAAAGAATAACCTCTCCTTCTAATATGCCCCAGTTTATATATATAATTTTTATGCTTCCCATCTTCCCTACAAGATAATTCTGAGCAGTACCCACATCTTATTGTTACAAACAGACCCACCTTAGCTGCATGTTCTATTTATTCATTCTCCTTAATAACCACATAGCCTGGGACTCAACGGAGGAATCTGTACTGCTGCATTCAGAAACCTTACTTCATTCCCCATGTCATTCTGATACAGGTGGTCTTCAGTTTAGGGCAGGCTCCACTACTATCATGTGTTCTTATGGCTATAAAGCAAGTCAGCTCTATGATCAACCAAATTTCATTATGTTTTTTGTGGCTATCATTAAGTGAAAGACATGGATGTTACACAAACCAGTTGGGCCAGTTTTGCTGAAAACCAGAAGTAAATGCCACTTTGGCACAAAAATGTTGTAAAACATGGTCATGTGATTGGAGAAAACAGCTATAAATATGAGCTGGTTGCCAAGTCATGTGAGTGGAGGGAGCAGCTGTTGGCACTTCATAATTGGGTCCTAAAGTATCCCTGTGGTGGTCCATCATAATTTTGAATGGCCGCTAAGCAACCATCCCTAAGTCAAGGAGTACCTGTATCCCATTGCTTCAATATGGAAAACCATCAGCTCTTAGAGAAAAAGGTCAGGTAATCTTGCAATTGTTTTATTTGGATACCCATAATCCATCCCAAAGCTAACAGCTCGCCCAACAGCTTAGGTTAACCTCTTGGGCTCACAACTTGGCCAACCCAACAGTCATAATTGAGAAGCAGTCTTGCACATGAAAGCTCCTACTGACTTTAAAGGCAGGATCATTAAAATAACTGCATCCCTTTTCTCTGAATCATCAACACAGAGCAAACAATGTTGATGATGGAGATCAAATGTGTAATTCAGGGTCTTCATGTCTGAAAGCCAAAGATCTCACTGCCCACCCCCCAATTCATAGCCACGGTTAAAGGTTTCATTTAAAGGTATGAGCTACGATGGCATAGTGGTTAGAGTGCAGTAGTGCAGGCTACTTGTGGTACCTGCCAGCTGGCTGCACTTTGGCTGTTCAAATCTCCCCAGACTCAAGGTTGACTCATCCTTCCGAAGTGGGTAAAATGAGGACCCAGATTGTTGGGGGCAAGAGGCTGACTCTGTAAATTGCTTAGAGAGGGCTGCAAAGCACTGTAAAGCAGTATATAAGTCTAAGTGGTTTTTCCATTGCTATCTACTCACCTTGTTAGAAAGATGTTCCAAATTTGCAGCACTTAACTGAGAATTCTTTCTACATGAGCAACTCACCTGGACCACCTTCTCCAGAGTAGGTACAAAACTCTGGAACCACTTGATCGTTTTGGGCCACGTTGGTGCCTTGAGTCACTTGACTTGCCCAAATGATGGATTGTAGTACCTTCTCTGGCCTTTTTGAAGGTGGTGCTGCAGCTCAGGAAAAACCAAGCCGGCTTACTCATTGACTTGCCTTGGTGTAGAGAGAAGCAAGATGTAGGCAGCCGGATGTCCTTCAGATGGTTTGCATTTCAACTCCCCATGGAAGTTATAGTCTGAACCCTAGGTTGAGCTCCAGGTTGAAGTCCCACAGGGTCAAATACGGCTTCTTTCTTGTAAATATAGGTAGTCCTCAGTTTACCACCACAATTGCATCCAGAATTTTGGTCGTACGTCAGTGCAGTTATAAGTCGAGCGACCACTTGACTGAAACTGACCATTTTACCACCATTTTATGATGATCATAAAACAAATCATTAGACTCCATAAGCAAAGTATGTGGTGGTTGAGCAAATCCAACTTCTCCAATGGGCATATATCTTAGGATGCTCAAACCGATCATAAATACGAGCCAGTTCCCAAGTGCCCAGATTTAAATCAAATCAAATCAAAATTAAAACCAGAACAAATAAAAACACTCAAGGAATATCCAGTTAAAAATTCTAGAATAAGGTAATAAGTAACCGATAAAATCTATATTAAAATCACAATTTGGCACCCAAACTCTCAGTTACACATGGCCTAACTATATACTATAATATCAATCCTTAAACTGTGAAGCCCATAGTCATTAAATACTACAATGCAAAAGAGTAGTAATGCAAAGAGGTTTGCTACATTGTGTAACATAAGCGCCGGAATTGCAACCACATGAGCACAGGCTACGTAAAGGAAAGTACAAGTCATACGGTACTTTTTCCAAGGCCTTTGTAACTTCAAACTGTTGTTAAATGAACAGTTGCAAGTCAAGGACTACCTACAGCCGGTGAATCATATTGAAAGGTTTTCAATTGAAGTTCTTCCTGTTTTCTGGTGAATGAGATGTTTTCTCTTTAACCCTTAGTCCGACCGCCTCCGTTGGACCTGCGAAACCTTTCCACCATCAGAGAACATTCTGCCTTAACCAGGACATGGACTGTGCCTTAGTAAGTGGAATTGGAACCTGTTGGACTTCGTAGAATGTACTCATGACAAGGGCAGATGGTTAATCTCAATGGAGAAGCCTCTGGTAAGGTGGCTTCACCCATTGAAATAACAGATTGGGTTGATACATCAAGCCAAGTTGATGTTTGTCCAGTTCTGCTTTGAGTAACTCCCAAAGGGTTGGATTCACACTTGTGGATTGGATTTGCACCCCGTCTTAACCAGGTTAGAGAAAGATGCAATATATGTAGCATGATTTTTTTAAAAAATTCTGAAATTCTTACTTTCCCATATTTTTTCTATGAAGATGCAAACATGCCTGTCTGCAGACACCTGGGGACATCACCTAGCTCTGTTCCTTCTGATCCAAGATATGCATTCACCTGGGCTAAATAAAAGCTGCCGTTTTTCCATTACCAATTTTTGCAGTGCCAATGACAACTCTGGTACTCTGTGCCATGACTGTATTTAGTAGTCTTCTTCCATTAAATGGGCCACTGTGAGGCCAATGGCTCATACTCACCCTCAAAATCACCAAATCAACTTTTTCAAATATTAATGTCAAGGTTTTAAAGAGGAAGGAAAATCAAAGATGAAAACTTCCTTGATCCCACTGCCACGAAAACATTTTTAAAATCCCTCCATTCCAAAAATGAACAAAAATGAGACAAAGACGATGGCATCTTGCAAATATCCAATAAGACATAGAATAACGGAGGGGACCTTGGATGTCATCTAGTCCAACTCCCTGCTTAAGCAGAAGAGTCTATACCATTTCACACAAATGGCTATCCAGTATCTTCTTGAAAACCTCCACAACTTCTGAAGGCAAGCAATTCCACTGGTTGATGGTTGGTTGCTCTCACTCTTAGGAAATTTCTCCTTAGTTCTAGGTTGCTTCTCTCCTTAATTAGTTCCATCATTTGTTTCTTGCCTTTCCTTCAGGTGCTTTAGAAAATAGTTTGCCCCCCTCAAATAATGGAACCGTGCTCTCAGGTCACTCCTAGTCCTTCTTTTCTCTAGGCAGACCATACCCAATTCCTGCAATTGTTTTTCATATATTTTAGCCGCCAATCCTCTAATCATCCTTGTGGCTCTTCTCTGTACTCTTTCCAGAGTCTCAACATCTTTTTTATATTGTGATGACCAAACCTGGATGAAAATCGGAGAGGTTGTTCTCCCCTCTATCCATGTGAACCATGTTTGAATTACAGCAGATCCAGTTTAACCGTGAATTCCTTCTGCCCTCCGAAATACATTCACATTTTTCATTACAAAGGTTTTGAGTTATCATAGCAGCCTGTTTAAAGTTGAGGACTCCTAAGAGAAATGCATTTCATTCCCTTTTGCTATGAGTATGGTAAATTGCATCTCCAAAAAAACATTCTTACAGTTTTAGGGAACTCCTCCCTGCCATAAAAAATAAGAGACAGGAAAGCATGTGCTACATTGCAACATTCCAGGAAAATTGGCTTCCAAACATCATCAATTCAAAACTATATATATATCTTGAATTTTTTATGCCTGAGAAGCCCATGATAACTAAAAGGCTATTTTGTAAGTGATTTTCTTTTAAAAAGTTGGGCCTCTCGTTCCCAAAGTAATATAAAAATTAGGGTGACACCTCTGGTATCTTGGACAGAGCTCCTGTTGTCCTTTGTCATTCTGACATCTTGGAAGACTGGATGGGTGGGGAAGTTTCTTGGAAAGCCAGATATGTGACTATCTTATAGTTCCAGCTTTTCTGCTGGGCCAGACACCATCCAGAAAGGCAGAAAAGATAATAGCTACTATCACCATGGATAAAACAGGACCAGGGCTGTTATATATTAGAAAGGAGAAGGAGCCCATGTGCTAAAGAAATGGAAACTTGTGATGGCTGATAATTTTGGACATCCTAAACCCTGCTGGGGGTTATCTGGTTGGAGATAACTCCAGATTGAAAGACTGTGGGGTCCTTGCTGCTCTCTGAGCTTGGTGCCTTTCTTGCGGACATTTCATTACCCAGCTAGGTAGTGACATCAGTGCTAGAAGGGAGTAGGGTCTTCAAAGTGGAAGAGGAGGAGGAAAAGAAGGGGAAGGAGAAGAGGAGGAAGAGGACAACAAGTCTGGAATCCTTGGTGTTGTCTGAGCTTGGTGCTTTCTTGCAGACTTTTCATTACCAAACTGGGTAACATCATCAGTACTAGAAGATCTTATTTTTATATCCTAGTGGCTTATCCTGTCAGTATCTCAAAGTGGTCAGCTGCCAGTGCAGTTAACACATCTGAATGGTGCCTAGAATCCCCCAAATTATATTTTTTTAAATTCCTTTAAAAAGGCTGGACTCTGATGAGGTTTCAGTTTCCTGTCTAAAATGTCAACAGGTTGAAGAGCATATAGAAACCCATTTCCCGTGAGTTTCATTTCTTAAGTTGGTTTGATTAAACAAAAACATGATTACTAAGTCCAGGGAATGTTGTTTTGAGATTTGCTTCAGTCCTGTTTTTCACTCTTAATTAAGTTTAATTAAGATTAATCAGATAAATTAAGTGAGCAGGGCCAGAACAGAACCTCTAACTTTGAATGACTGTGAATGAATTGCTACATTGCTGCTTCAAAGCTCTAACATAATTTGCTGTCGGTCTATATCAGAGGTCCCCAAACTTGGTGACTTTAAGACTTGTGGACTTCAACTCCCAGAATTCCCCAGCCAGCCAAGCTAGTCTATATATATTCTAGTGGTTTGCCTATCACTGTTGGTGGGGTGGCCTTAGAGATTCTTTGATTGGGCTGTTTGCTGTTGGCTTCTTTGTTAGTTTCTTGATTGGGGCTTTGTTTACTTGAGAGTTGGTCTGAAGTTAACCTTGGAATTAATCTATGCTGATCTGGGTGCTGATTTCTGGTGGAGAGGTGCTTAGGTCTTGTGGTTCCTGCGCTGGGTGATTGTCTCTTCTGCATAGTCCATAGATGTTGTTAATATCTATGTGTCTATTGATGGCAGATTTGTCAAAGAGCCAGGCTTCTAGAATGCCAGGCCCTAGCATTTTTGCACTTGGTTTGGTCTAGGATGGCCATGATGTCCCAATTGAAACTAGGGTTTCAAAGAATCTCTTAAGACCTCCCCCACCAACATTGACAGACAAGCCACCAGAATATAAACTGACAGCAAATAGCATTCCTTACTGGCACTGAAGTTGTTACCTAGTTGGGTAATGAAACGTCTGCAAGAAAACAAACAAGCTCAGAGAGCAGCAAGGACCCTCCTGAGTCCAAAATTTATGTGAATCTAAGTGAGACATTTGTTGAGTGAGTTTTGCCCCATTTTATGACCTTCCTTTCCACAGTTGTTAAATGAATCATTGCAGTTGTTCAATTAGTCAACAGGATACTGCATCATAACCATCATAAATATGAGCCAGTTTGCCAAGCATTTGAATTTTGATCACATGATCATGGAGATGTTGCGACGGTTGTAAGTGCGAAAAACCATCATAAGTCACTTTTTCAGTGCCGTTGTAACTTCGAATGGTAACTAAATGAACTGTTGTAAGTTGAGGACTACTTGTACCTAATTAAATTATGCAGGATTCAATCTGGGTTTGTCACTGGGACTAGAGGTTTTGTCTTCTAGAGGTTTTGTCTAAGCTTTTGGACTTGTGTTGGAGGCCATCTGCTGGAGAGAAGTTCCCTGAAGATGGACTCTGGCACGAGTCCGAAACCTCTGGTCCCAGTGACTGACCCAGATTGGATCCTGTAACATTATCCCGGGACACATAGATTCACCTTCCTTTGTGATTAAATCATTTCTACCCCCAAATATTACTAGCTGTACAAGGTAAGGCGCAAGCATCACCTGCAAATGCCTTTGGACAAGATGTCTACTATCCCTTGGACATTAGTGGACAATTTTCTGCTTGTAGAATAGAATTCTTTTTATTGGCCAAGTGTGATTAGACATACAAGGAATTTGTCTTGGTGCAAATGCTCTCAGTGTACATAAAAGAATAGAATACAAAAAATAGAATAGAATAGAATACAAAAAATAGAACAGAACAGAACAGAACAGAACAGAACAGAATAGAATAGAATAGAATGGAATGGAATGGAATGGAATGGAATGGAATGGAATGGAATGGAATAGAATTCTTCATTGGCCAATTGTGATTGGACATACAAGGAATTTGTCTTGGTGCAAATGCTCTCAGTGTACATAAAAGAATAGAATACAAAAAAACAGAATAGAATAGAATAGAATAGAATAGAATTCTTTTTATTGGCCAAGTGTGATTGGACACACAAGGAATTTGTCTTGGTGCAAATGCTTTCTGTGTACATAAAAGAAAAGAAACATTTGTCAAGAGTCAAGAATCATAAGGTACAACACTTAGTAATAGTCATAGGGTACAATAAGCAATCAAACCATACTAGGAAACAGTCCATATAAATCGTTAGGATACAAGCAACAGAATTACAGTCATACAATCTTGTATTATGATTTCCTATACCGCTGGGCAATTTTTATGTATTGACAAATTCAATAGCAGCAACAAATAATATATAGAGATCATCTTAATGAGACGGTTCCCTTTTTGTAGCTCATTCAAATTCCTGGGCTCTGGATGCTTTATTCCCTGCCAGGACAGTGTCAGGATTTGGCTGGATTTCAAGGCATCTGGGGAAAGTCATCCCTGATCTCTTGTCTTTCTTTGTTTGCCTTTTCGGTGATGTCCCTTTTTCTCCCCCCTCTTCTAGCAATCGAACAAGCTTTATCTCTCCCGAAAGAGACTGCATTAATTCAGCAAGGGTATTTGCTGCTTCAGTTTCCGGAGAAGAGGAAGGAAGTTACATTCAAATGGTAATTATTTTCATACAGCTCTTCTCTGCTCCCCTTTTGACAAATGGCACGAACGGAACTGCTCACAGAGGGCTGTTTTTTTTATTAAAAAAACTGGGTTGTGTGGTGAGAGTGCCCCTTTGCCCCGCTGAAGAAATTCCGTGGAAAAACACAAGGCTTAATTGACACAGTGATAAGGGAAGCCTTTTTCCTGTTTTACAGACCTTTGTTGTGCGCACACAGGCGTAGGTGGCTCTGGTCCAAATGTTCACAAAGATCAGGCAGAGATGCACCCAGGCGTTTGTAGACTGCAAAGATAGATCCTGCACTCTCTTTTTTTTTAGATCAGATCTAGCCCTTCATATTCAACGTGAAAACTAAGAAAATTGTTGCGTAGAGCACTGGTCACCAACTGGTGGTCCATGAGAAAATTTTGGTGGCCCACAGAAAAAATTATTTGCATTTTTTTTATATTGCACTAAATCAGGGCTCCTCAAACTACAGAGCCTGGGACAGATACGTACAATGAAGGTTCGTGTTGCTGCAGAAAGTCTCCCCATTCGGGGTCTTTTTGTTGCTGGTCCGGGAAGGGGAGAAATTCCCACTTGGGGTCTGCTTTGGCCTCCTGGTGTGGGGCTTTGGGCGAAGGCTGGAAGGAAGGGCCACTGGTGGCGAAGAGCCGGAGGGCCTCGTTCCAGTGGGACAGTATCATGGCCTGGAACTGGTTGACCATCTCAGCCCACTGAGCCTTGCACTCCTGTAGGTCTTCCCTCTGCTTGGAAAGCCTATACTCCTAGTCCTCAGTGAGGTGCTTCTGCTGAGCCTCCTTCTTGGTCCCATCCAATATGAACTGAGCCAGCTGTTTGGCCAACTCTTTCTCGTGGTGGTTGCTTAGCTCCAACAACTGCTACCTGTTGGGGCCCTACGGAGCCCAGGCGGGCAGGCGAGGAGTGGCTGAGAGGGGAGGGGCGAGTAGAGGCCTCGAGTGACCTTGAGTTGGCCACGCCCACCCAGCCAGTCATTGGGCAGATCATATTAGTGGTCCGCAGGATTTAAAATTAAGAATTTAGTGGTCCCTGAGATCTGAAAGGTCGGCGACCCCTGGCACAGAGTATCAGCCAAAGGACATTGTGGAGATAGGCTTCAGATCAGGGGCCTCCCGACACAAAATGAGCAGCCATAAAATGAAGCAGGGACACTATATTATTTGTGTGTTTATTAATCTGCTGCCAATCTCTCCAAGAGGCAACACATTGAGAGTTTCTTTGTGCACAGGTAATCCTCAATGTACAGCCACAATTGAGCCCAACCTTTCAGTTGCTAAGCAAGACGGTTGTTAAGTGAGTTTTGCCCCATCTTACGACTCTTCTTGCCACAGTTGTATGAGGGAATCGCTCCAGTTCTTAAGTTACTCCAGGGGTCCTCAAACTTGGCAACTTTAAGACTTGTGGACTTCAACTCCCAGAATTCCCCAGCCGACCGGCTGGGGAATTCTGGGAGTTGAAGTCCACAAGTCTTAAAGTCGCCAAGTTTAGAGATCTCTGATTTAGTCACTTGGTTGTTAAATGAACTGGCTCCCCCATTGACTCTGGTTGTCAGAAGGTCACAAATAGTGATCTCATGGCTCCAGGATTCCACAACCGTCATAAATACAAGTCAGTTGCCAAGCGTCTGAATTTTGATCATGTGGGGATGTTGCCACAGTCGTAATCGTGAAAAACAGTCATGTCACTTTTTTTTCAATGCCATTGTAACTTGGAATTGTCAGTAAACAAATGGTGTTGAGGACTACCTTTGTATATTCCAAAGAAAATATAGGCGATGACCAGGCTGAGCCCAAGGGAGGGGTGAAGCACATCATCAGTCTTGAGTCCTTCCGTGCCTACAAGAGATCTAAGTCCAGCCCACCTTGAATTCCGTGGACTCTTATCTGGTCCCAATTTGCCTTACTTGGTAGCAGTTCATATTTTTTTTTGTAGAGAGCTAGCTTGGAATAAACCTATTAGTAGTTTATTCCACACTAGCTCTCTAGTTGTTTGTAGGAGTGTACTCATTTGAACATTTGAATAGGGATGCGGTGGCTCAGTGGCTAAGAGGCTGAGCTTGTCGATCAGAAAGGCCGGAAGTTCAGCGGTTCAAATCCCTAGTGCCGCGTCATGGAGTGAGCTCCCATTACTTGCCTCAGCTTCTACCAACCTAGCAGTTCGAAAGCATGTAAAAAATGCAAGTAGAAAAATAGGGACCCCTTTCCTGGGAAGGGAACGGCATTCCATGTACCTTCGGCGTTTAGTCATGCCAGCCACATGACCACGGAGACGTCTTTGGACAGCACTGGCTCTTCGGCTTTGAAGCGGAGATGAGCACCGCCCCCTAGAGCCGGAAACGACTAGCATGTATGCGTGAGGGGAACCTTTGCCTTTTCTCATTTGAACAACTCTGGTTTCTGAATTCTTGCACCCGACAGAACCCAGTTTCTGTCATAGTCTGTGCAAATGACCTTGGAAAGACAGGAGGAAGAGCTGCAACCTTGACAGCAGTCAGAGAAACGCAGCCTGAGTCTGAAGAAGGGCTGGGGGCTGAGAAAGGGTCTCGCCTGAAGTTCTCTGGGCCGTTTAGAATGAAACCCACTACAAATGTCCTTCAAGTGAAATGCACGATAAGGAGCCCATACTAGGGAGGCAGTAGCAAGATGGTCGTTTGGAAGCCAAAACACAATACAAATTAAAATTGAAATGCCTGGAAAAATGGCAAGGTCTTCACCTGGTGCCGTAATGATGCAGAGGTACGTTTGGAGAGGGCATTCCATAAAGGATGCCACCAGAGGGGGGGAAGACACCTTCCCATCCAACTCAGCTTTGGTGTGTAGAACTGAAGGAGGGCTCTTTAAAGGATCTTGTCAACTCGTAAAGCATTCCTATGCCTGTTTCCGAGTTGCCATAAGCAGGTATGACAATAAAAAACAGAAGTACATTCCATGCTTATCTTACAAAGATTGTAACCTAGGCAACCAGGTCTCCTGCCCACAAAAATCCTTCATTGGATAATGTGAGTTGGAGAGTCTGATTTATGACACATCCAGGGGGGAGGGGGGAAACAGGATCACAGGTGACCGTAAATTACGTGTGGCAAGAGTTGGCTTCATATGGGACAATGCCAGTCCTAATAAATCTTTTCGATTCTTTTGAAGCTTGACTCGAGGCTCATGAACCCTGACAGATCTTAAGCTAGCTAGGTACATACCAAGAAGATGCTCCTTTAAGTAATGTAGTTCTGAAGAATGGACTGAACTGTGACAACAAAGGAGATCTTGTTTATCTGCTCTTATTCTTTATTGCTGTTAGTATAAATCCATTATATGATCTTTGCTTTTTTAAAATAAATTTAATTTTTTGATGTTGTTGTCATTGTTATTATTAGGAGCACCAACAAGCAACATCTCCATATAATGGAGATTTCCAATCGCCAAAGAAGTTTAACCTTGACTACTTAGCACTGGATTTTAATTCTGCTTCTCCATCTCCTGTACAGAAGGTAGGCCATTGGGAGGGAGTAAGGAAAACTTTTGTTTGGTCCTCCTCTAATTCTTGAATTGGTGCATAACCATCGACCAGTTCAAGAATTAAAAACCCAATTCTCTCTGAAGGTTGCAGTAGAATTCTCTTAAATGCATTTTGTGAAATAAAGAAAATACATATTGGGTTGAAGTGCTTCCCAAATCCATGAATGTATGTTGGGACAGATTGCATGCAAAATATGCACGATTTGTGTGTGTGTGTGTGTGTGTGTGTGTGTGTGTATCATACAGGATATGAAAATGTAAATGCAGACTTCTAAGCAGAAAGCATTCAAAATGGATTGGGAAATGATAAAAAATAAAGTTGTCCATAAAAAAATGCAAAAATTATAGAAAGCGGGAATAAATTTCTCAATCCGAAGAGCAATTTCCACAGGATCAAGAATGGTGCAAGCATATTTTAGATGAAGCTCTCTGGAGCTGAAATTCATTCTGACCTTGACCCATCAAAGCACACATGTGAGGGATTACATTCTCTTTCATCTAAAGCCAAATGTTTCCCATGAGTCTCCAGTTCACAGATTCCCTTGATTTGTTCTGGACTGAGGGACAAAGTCACAAATCGGGACAAGTTGAAATGGGATTGTTCCTCTTTCCAATTGATGTCTTCCTCATCTTCAAGCTGGGGGGAAAAAAACCCACTAAAGTGTAAAAGAGGAGATGTAGAAGAATGAGTTGTAGAACATGAGGGTGGAGTTAAAGGAGGAATCAGCCTAGAATCCCTGTGTAGCCACAAAGTCCAACCTCCCTTAAATTCCTTTGCTTGTATTTAACTCCAAGCAGGCGCTAAATGTTAATTGAGAAGATTCCTATACATAGGCATGAATAGTAATAAATCAGTTTAATTGGACTTTCGTATGTGAACTTTCCCACCTGATAAGAGGATAAGTGATGTAACCCTAGCATTTTCCTACCGTGTTTTCCTCAAAATAAGACCCAACCAGAAAATAAGCCCTAGCATGATTTTTAGGGTGTTTGTAATATAAGCCCTACCCCCAAATAAGCCCCAGTTAAGATTTTTTAGGCAGCCGGACACATTTTAGCACCCGTATTTCCCCCCGAAAATAAGACCTAACCAGAAAATAAACTCTAATGCATCTTTTGGAGCAAAAATTAATCTTAAGACCCAGTCTTATTTTAGGGAAAACACAGTAGATCCTTGTATTTATGTTTTATTGCCTTCACTCTACAGAAACCTTTCCTCTCTGAAGAACAACGAGTGGACTACGTTCAGGTAGACGAGCAAAGAACTCAAGCTCTGCAAAATACGAAACAGGAATGGACAGATGAGAGGCAATCCAAAGTGTGAAGAGGAGAAGGCATGGATTGGTTCCTTGGTTAGCTTGATTTTTTGTTTTTATTTTTGCACACCAAAATCGGGTCATTTGAACGACGGAGCAGAGACTGGAATTGTTGCAGAGCAGAAGAAGACATCTGATGGTTGCTGTCCTCGTGCTGTGAGGATGGTCCCAGAAGGAGTGGGTCATCTGTAAAAAGATTGGGGTGCGGTTGATCGGAATGACATCCTTTCGTCATTTCCTTCATTGCTTCTTCCAGTTAGGATCTGAATGGTACCCCTGTTAAAACCTGAACTTGGCTTCTTTGGACATTAACAGGAACAAAAGCCTCGCAGTGTCAACGTTCAACACTGTAGTTACTTGTGACTTTTTTTCCCTACATCCTGGCTACTTAACAGAAGCTAGATCTATTATAGCAGCTGGTACTGATCGATGCTAGGAAAATAAGGGCTAAATATTAGAAGTTAGAGAAAGTAACTGGTGGGAGGGGAAGGTTTAGGTTTTTTGATATAAAATGTTTGCCATTTTCTTGACTAAATCCAAGAGTGTAAATACCACTTCTTTTTGCTAGTGGAACTCATCTACAGAGAGTAAAATCCATCACTTCGTTTGTCTCTTTGTTTGTAAAAGCCCCAGAGGTGCAGTGGTTAGGCATGCAGTATTGCAGGCAAACACTGCCAACAGTCTGGAGTTTGATCCCAACCGGCTCAAGGTTGACTCAGCCTTCCCTTCTTCCCAGGTTGGTAAAATGAGGACTCAGATTGTTGGGGTGGGGCAATATACTGACTCTGTAAACCGCTTAAAGAGAGTGATAAAGCACTATGAAGCGGTGTATAAGTCCAAGTGCTATTGCTATTGTCTCCTCACTTGGGCAGAATTGCCTTAAGCTGCATTCACAGGCTTCCATGTTGTCACTTTCAAACTTTGGGACACTGTTAAGCTATTTTTCTAACTCCACCATGTTTGGAGACCACCAAAAGGCTGTGTCTGTGCTACAGGAAGGAAAATGCTAGCCAGTTTCTGGATTCTAGTAGGCAATCATACTGGATTTCTGCAGGGAAGTTTTCGGTCAAAAATATAATGATGAGGGCTATGATTGTGTATAGAAAGTCTTGTCCTTTTTTTAATGTGCATTGTGACCTCCCTCTAGATTATTATTATTATTATTTTGGTCCCCCGGCAGATATTCCTGGATCAGTACTTGAGATTTTGTTCCTTTGTTGAGTGTCACTAATGCTAAGAATTCTTCGAATGAATCTGACTGAAACATTTAGCATTAAAATATTTACTTCTGATTTAGTGTTCCCTTAATCAAATAAACAAAAATATGAATTCTTCGATATTTTGTTGGGAATAGCCAGTTTACTAAATTCCTCTCTTCTCCTGTCCTCTTTTCCCTTCCCCTTCCCTTCTCTCAAACAATCAGAGTTCTGGTTCAAAAGTCTCTTTTACTTTTCAATTTAGAACTATTAATGCAACAGTCTGAATTTTGGTTGCTATTTCTTGTTTTCTCTTATCTCCTCTTTCTCCCTTTGCTTGCAATGGTTGAATTTCAGGCTAAAGTTGAAACAGTGAAAATGTTGTTAATATCTACATCTTCCTTCAGGAGAAAGCTGTCCTTTTCTGCTGGCCTTATCATTACATACATAAAAAATCTTTATATTGACATATATTGCTGCCTCTTTAATCTGGCACCCTCCAGATGTGCTAGATTTCAATTTTCAGAAATTGAAGGGAGACAACAGGAGCCAAAGACCTGGCACATCTGGAGACAGGCTTGAGTGGAAAAAATTGCTATTGCCTATTAAGTCATTTGATGTGAGAGTTCAATCAATTGATTCTTTTCAGGTATTAAGCCAAAACCTATTGAGCTGCCGAGCCAATGGACTAGACCAAAGATCTCCAACCTTGGCCACTTTCAGACTTGTGGACTTCAACTCCCAGAATTCCTCAGCCAGCAGCTGGCTGAGGAATTCAGGGAGTTGAAGTCCACAAGTCTGAAAGTGGCCAAGGTTGGAGA